GACTTCCCAGTACCCTGGAGCTGTACACTACAGTAATCCCTTCACAGATTTGTCAGAGTTATTCTACCATAGCTACAGGGAAAGAAAGACACAAATAATAATCACTCTATAACACTGATAAAAAGAAACTAGAGAAAACTGAAAGAAATGTGTAGATAGTCTATGTTCATGAATTCAAAAGTCTAATGTGTTTTCCTTCTTTCTTTTCTGTTTTCCCCTGGCTGTCCTGGAACTCACTCTGTAGACAGGCTGGTCTCACAGAGTTCCACCTGCCTCTGCCTCCTGAGTGCTAGGATTAAAGGTGTGTGCCACCACCACCCAGCCAACATGTTTTCTTAAGATTTACCTTTATTTATATATATGTGCATATGCCTGTGTGTGTGACATGTATGAGTAGATGACTGTGGAGGTCAAGAGAAGGCAGTGGTGAGATCCTCAATGTGGGTGCTGGGAACCAAACTCGGGTCCTCTGGAAGAGAAGCAACCCCTCTTAATCACTGGGCCATCTCTAGCCCTCCAATATTGTTAAGATTGCAGTTCTCCCCAAACTGACCTAAAATTAAACTCAACTCCTATCAGAACACCAGAAATCTTTATACAAAACTTTACATATTTTCTGAAGTATAAATAACCTAGATTATCAAAACAACTTTGAAAGTACAGAATATAGTTTGTGTACTATATCAATATTTACACTTCTCAACTTCTAGACTTATCATAAACTTACAAGAGTGTATAGTATGTGCCATACATATGGATCAATGGAACAGAATTAAAAGATCAGGAATTAATTTCTGTATACTCATAGTCAACTAACTTTTGACAAAAGTACCAAATGTTATCCAACTAAAAAGGATAGTCTTTTAGACAAATGGTATCTAAAGAGATGAGTTTATACCTCATATAACATATAAACTAAATAAAATATTAAAATTTTAGAAGACAGAAGAAAAATGTTGAATTAGGCAAAAATTACTTATGACACCAAAAGCACAACCCATAGAAGAAACTACTACACTGGACTTCATCATAATTTAAAACTTGGTGCTTCAAAAGACATCATTAATAAAATGAAAGGGGAGAGTATGGAGAGATGGTTCCGTGGTTGCGAGCACTTGCTGTTCTTCCGGAGGACCCAGGTTCTATTCCCAGAACCCACACGGAGGCTCACAACTGTCAATAACTCCAGTCCCAGGGGATCTGATGCCCTCTTCTGTCCTCCATGGTCACTACAAGCATATGGTGTACATACATACAAGCAGGCGAAACATCCATAATGTCTTCTACTGGCTTCCATGTGTACTGCACATCTCTCACACACGTGCATACAAGCAAGGCAAAAGACCCATACACATAAAATAAATCTCAGAAGAAATTCTTAAGGAAAATGAAAGTGGGGCTGGAGAGATGGCTCAGTAGTTGAAGCACTGGCTATCCTTCAGAAGACGGGTTCAGTTCCCATCATCCACATGGTGGCTCACAACCATCTGTTCCTCCACTTCCAGGGGATATCATGTCCTCTTCCAGCCTCTGTGGTCACCTTCACACACATGGTGCACATGCATCCATGAAGGCAAACCTCAAATGCATATAAAATAAAATACATCTCTTAAAAATATTTATTTATTTATTTATTTATTTATTATGTATACAGTGTTCTGCCTGCATGTGTGCCTGTAGGCCAGAAGAGGGCAGCAGACCTCATTACAGATGGTTGTGAGCCACCATGTGGTTGCTGAGAATTGAACTCAGGACCTCTGGAAGAACAGGCAGTGCTCTTACTGTTGAGCTATCTTACCAGCCCAAAATAAATCTTTTTTAAAAATAAAAAAATTAAAGATGAGGAGATATTTAATAGGTAAAATGCTTGCCATGCAAACATAGAGACCTAAGCCGGGACCATCCAGATGCCCAGAATCCACATAAACCCTGGACAGGGCAGTGTGTATTCATTGTCTACTGCTAGGGAAGCAGAGACAAGCAGAGACAAGAGGGTTTCTGGGGCTTGCTAGTCAGCTATTCTAGTCAAACTGGCAAGCTCCAGGTTCACTGAGAGACCCTGTCTCAAAAACTAAGATAAAACTCAACTGAAGCGGACATCTAGTATCAAGCCATAACCTCCACATACACAACACACACACAGTTGTGATAATTCCTCCCATGGAAAGGATCTCTTTATAAGGTCCCAACAACAAGCCAAATATGATTCCACCAAAGTACACTCTGGAAAACCAATGAATTTGTTAGGCTTCCTTAGAGTGAGATGTGAGGGGTTATGGGCAGCATCATGAGTAATTTACAAACTGTCACACAGTCTGGATGCTGGCTTCCTCAAAGCCACAGAGTTAGAGGCCCTTCCCTTTTTCCCCCACCAGCCTAGCTATATCCTAAAGCCTCTCCCTGAGACCTGGGTCCCTAAGCAATTAGGGCATATTGCATACAAACTGCTGGGAGGCACGGTTGGAGACCCGCGTCAAAGGTCCAATGACCCTCTTCACCCCTTCCTTCTAGGAGGGAAAGTCAGTAGTCCACAGACATGATACAGGGACATTTGCATGCAAGCACAGCTGATGTGATGAAGATGGTGGCTGTTTTGCTGATAGGACACACTTTACAACACCACCCCACCCACACACAAAGAAAATGAAGTGTTAGTAAGGCACTTGACTAGCACGCAAATGGCCATGGGTACTTTAATCCTCAGCACTGAAAAGACTGAAAAAATGAAAAATATATTATAAATCATATATCCAATAAAGTATCTTTTATTCAGGATTTGAACTCTTATTACTCAATAATATATTTTTTTTAAAAAAAGACATACAAACCATATTAAAAACAAATAAAGGACACGAACAGGGTTTTTAGCAAAGAAGAAACAGGAACGGCTAGAAATAACAAGAAGAAAGTCTACAGCAGCACATCAGTCATTATGAAATATTAACTGAAGCCTCGAGGAGCTGCTACTTCACACTCACAGGAACAGTAAAAGGACTTTAATTTGTTTAAAAAGAAAACAACAAATGGCGGGCTGAAGTGGCACACCCCTTTAATCCCAGCACTCAGGAGGCACAGGCAGGCAGATCTCTGAGTTTGAAGCCAGCCTGGTCTACAGAGTTCCTGGCTGTCACACAAAGAACCCCTGTCTCAAACAAACAAAGTTTAAAAAACCACAAATGCTAGAGTGGGTGAGGAAAAACTATCAGATGTGGGAATATAAACACAAAATAGTACAGCCACTTTCGCATAATGAAAACAAATTTAAAATATCCTCAAAATTTTCATTTCACAGTATCTGCTCAAGAGAAATGAAAATGTCTATAGAGTCTTATATGCTTTATCAGAATAGCCCTCAAACTGGAAATAATTCCGAACGATGAATAAACAAAATACAAACTATTCATTTAGGGAATATTATTTACCCATTAAAAAGAATGAAATACTAAAATATACTATAACTCAAAGCAATCTAAGTGAAAGAATCAGTCCAAAGGGGTAACATACCATTTGATTCTATTTATATGAATTGCCTGAAAGGGGCAGTTAGGGAGATGGCAACCAGAATAGTGACTACCTAGGTTCAGGTAGGAGTGAGAATTCATTATAAATGGTGGATACTAGGCTACTTTTTTTCTCTATTTTTTTTAAAGTGTGGGTGGATATGGCACATGTGTGCAAAGAATGTGTGTGGAGGTGAGAGAGCAACTTTAGGAGAGGGTTCTCACCTTTCCACCTTGTTCGAGGCAGGCAGGGTCTTGCTGCGGCTTCTCTGAAGCACACACTTCATGCTAGCTAGTCCAGGAGCTCTGGCCAAGTTTCCTACCTCCACCACCAGTGTCACCGTGGGAGAGCAGGGAGAGCATGCACACCGCAGTGGCTGGCTTTTTACATGGATTCCAGGGAGCGACTCAGGTAGTTAAGCTTTGTAGGGCAAATGCTTCCCCGGAGCCTCCCTCCCAAACCACCTCTCCGGCCCCACACTGCATTCCAGCTAATTAAATATTCCAAAGCAGGACTGTGATGAGATTGGTACAACTATGAAATTTTATTAAGATTCACTGAATTATATACTTAAAAACATGTGAGTTTATGGCTAATCAAGCCCATCCATTGACACATCCTACAGTCTGAGAATTCCTCTGTGTCCTGTAAGGGAACCACCCCCACTGAGAAGTGTTCCTTCAAGTGGGCCTTTCGCCCCATTCATGCCCTGCTGCGCACCAGAGGGTACTGCTGCAGGTGTGAAAAGTAAATGACCCATTTCTTACTTTAAAGTGATGTAATTAATGCTTATAAGAGGGTCCAGATCCAACGGGGAAAGAGACTGAGGAGGGCCAGCCTGGTCTACATAGCGAGTCTCCAGCCCAGCCCAACTAAGGCTAGACAGTGATTCCCTGTCTTGACAAAACGAAACAAACCACTAAATTCACAAACAAAATCGTGTGAATCCATTCTTCCAAGGGAGAGACGAAGAAGCTGCAGGGAGGGATGTTGAGACGCCCACACACTCCTCTGGCATCCCCCCCCCAAGTCTGTCGGTCCCCATACCCACAGCCCCCAGGCCTGTCTGGCCTCCATCCTCAGCCTTGAGGGCTCTTCTGACAGAAGAGCGCCCGGTCCCCAGCCTTACCTCCTCAGGCGAGTTGCTCAGCTAGCCTCATCACCTCCTCACACAAATGTGGTTTGCGAGCGGCGATTCCCCTAAACGGAACGAAAGAGCCGCTGCAGACACCCAAATCTCAAAACTGTTTCAGCGCAACAAGCCCCGGGGTTCACGCTGACCCGACCCAGCGGACGAGACCTCGAACAATCACCGCGTCGCGTCAGTAGCCTGTTCGAGCCGGGACCACGTGCCCCTAGAGCCCGGCCCCGCCCACCGCCAGGCCCCGCCCACCCCGCCCCGCAGTTAGCCTAGCAACTGGCGCGAAAGCTCGACCGCGGGAACGCGGGCGTGTCCGGGAAAGCGCTGCGCGCATGCGCCTGGAGAAGCAGGTCTGGCGAGGGGCCGCATCCAGGGCCCGGGAGGCGGAAGTATACGGGGCTGGGGGTCCTCCCTTCCAGTCCTCAGCTTGGAGTGCGCGATGCGGGCGGAGGGGGAGCTGGGGTTGAAGGGGAAGGTCCCCCCGGATCCGGGCCTGGGTGCGGCTAACGGGCCGGTGTCTGTGTGTGTGCCCAGGGAGACATGGAGTACTGTCTGGCGGCCGCGGCGCTGAACGGGGTGGACCGGCGCTCGCTGCAGCGCTCGGCTCGGCTGGGGAGGGAAGTGTTGGAGCGCGCCAAGAGAAGGGCAGTGGACTGGCGTTCTCCAGAGCGATCCAGAGGCAGCGTGGGGGTCCTTGACCGCCAGGGCCCCTACCAGGAACGATGGTCGGTCCCCGGTCCCCAGCGCCTCCTAGGAGAGGTGAGGGCGCGAGCTGGGGGGGCACTACCCAGGCATTCTTGACCTCCCACTGGGCCGGAGGGAACCTCCAGTGGCCAAAAGATGCAAAGTATCTGGACAGAGTGGAAAAATACTTTGGAAAATGCTTTTGATACTTTATGATTTTATACGGGTCTCAAGTAGCCCAGGCTAGCCTTGATGTCCTGCCCACGCCTCAAGTACTAGTTTTAAAGGGGTTGTGCACCAGCACTGTGTGACCCATTCTTTATAAGTAACGAAAGAATAGTAGTATTCTGTTTGACTACTTTTAAGATATAATTTCTTGCGGAGTGTGGTGGTGCACGCCCTTAATCATACCACCTAGGACTCAGAAGTAGACAGATCTCTGAGTTCGAGGATAGCCTGGTCTACATGGCAAGTTTGAGGCCAGCTAGGGTTACATAGTGAGACCCTGTCTAAATTAAGTAAATAGAATTCTTAATGTGGTGCCAGAACGTAGGAGATGGGGGCAGGCGGATCTAGTGTTCATGTGACCCTGTCTCAAAAACCCTAAACAATAACAGCTTTAGCAAGTAAAGCCAGCTAACCTGTTATTTTAGATCCTGGATAAATTGCATGTCTAGTTTACTGAGTTAAATTCTTTCTCAGCAAGATCCTTTTTCCAAATTTCAGCTTGCAGAAGCTTTCCTAAAAGTAAAAAGAAGCTATTTCTCAAAAGCTGTCCTTTTCCAGTAGGCAGTAGTAGGTTTCACCTATCACTTGCCATTTGTTCAAATAGAGAGAAGAAAGGTGCCCAACCCTTAGTGCTTCCTTCAGAACAATGGCTGAATTCATGGACTATACTTCCAGTCAGTGTGGGGTAAGTTGGTGTGAACTCCCGCTGTGCTCCTGATCTGTGCTTGGGAAGAATCAGTACTCCTCTATCCTGGGACCTATGGGCCTTCGTGAGCAGGTTATAATCAGTTAAGTAAGCCAGGTGGTAAACACAAGTTAGGATTCAGCCAGCAAACATTTATCCATTCCATTCTAACTCTGCTTGTTGAAGACACAGCAGGAAACGAACCAGGAAAGGCCTTTGCTCTCCTTGGGTTTTCAGTTGTGTAAGGAGTATGGTGCTTAGCTCCTGATTCCACGATGAAGTCTAATTTGAGGCTGTTTCCTTTTCCCTTTGCAACTAAGTTAAAATCTTTAGGATACTCATGAGTTGTTTCGTTTTCAAAATGCGTTGAATCAAAAACTGAATTGGAAAGCCTGTATGTTAGGTCTCAACCTTCAATGTTTGTTTCCAGTTCATGGTGAATATCCCAGTGGGTTCCTAAACAGGTGTTGGTGACAGAGATGCCCATGTGACACAGATGCAGGTGTGTGGTTTTTAATGGCAAGGCCTGCTTCCCAAAGATCAAACCATGTTCTGTAGCTTTCAGCTAGCCAACTGGTCGCTCTTAAGACTCACCTAAGGCGTGTGACCCGAGGAGTGAGAAGTAGGGAGTACACTCTGGACACCCGAGGAGTGAGAAGTAGGGAGTACACTCTGGACATGAAGCTGCCCTCTTTGTGGTGTTTAGCTTCCCACGGTAAAGTTCAGGTTTCTGAAGCCCCAGCTTTATTATTGATGTCTTTGATTTCCACTGAGAGATGAATAGCAAATTATCACAACACGGTGCAAGGTGTATTCCTTGAAATGAGTGAACAGTTTTTAAATTCTGAAACCCATACATATACTGAGATTGAGGGGATGGATGTTAAAGGCAGATGCTGAAGGAAAACACAGGTTCTGTTTTCTCAGAATCACACCAGGCTTTACCTGTGCATAGCTGGGATTTTAGGATATTGTTGTGTAAGCGAAATAGAAAAGAATTGGTTTTGCCATGCTTTCAGGCTCCAGGTATAAAGATCCCCAAGTTGCCAATCTTCCAGTTTTGTTAGAGGTAAGATCTCAAGGTTGTTCTCAGGCCTGCTACTTACCTAGTCTTGATCTCCTTGCTTCCCACTTTCTGAGTATAGGGGTTATATATGCCACTACTATACCCAACTCCTGCCTTTTACAAACATTCTCTAGATTACAGTAGGCTTCCAAGCAAAGAGCTATGGTTCAGAGAACATTCAGCTCTACTATATAATGGTGACCTTAGACATTGGTTCATGGTTCAGTCAAATAAGAGTTGTCTTTGAGGCTTTAGCAAACCAGGGTTCTTCAGGTAGGGTTTCGAGCTATGTTCCACTTCAGTCCTATTACAGAGTGGTGCTTCAGAACTTCGTAGCTTTCGAAGATTTAGCAAAGTGTCCAGGATTTGGCTCCAGAGTTTGAAAGCGGCCTTTAAAATGCCATAGGTCTGTGTCCTGACTCTCCAGGCTTCTCCTCCCTCCTCTCACATCCCTTTGAGACTGTCCCACAGTGTGTGCCAAACAAGCTTGTGTGTGTTGTCGTCACACTCAGAGTCAAGGGCAAATACAAGGTCATCTTGGAAGAGGAGGAAGGAACCAAACAAGAAAAATGTAATTTTTCTGATCTTTTGGATTATTCCTACACTAGCGATCTCTCTCCTTGCCTTCCCCTGTGGAGAACCCAGGGGCAAAAGGCACAGCTGTTAGGTTTGTTTTCTAGCCTTCTGTGTTTCTTCAATGAAGAAATTACTACGTTTTCCCCCCTACCTCACCTGAGTACCCAGAAGTAATCAGCAAATTGTTGATCCGACTCTGTCAGGGGAGGAAATGAAAGGGTGGATGTACTTGACATTGAAGTGAAGATTTGAAAGCCTTTACCCCCGCAGAGAATATTTATTTAGTTGGTCAGAGTTCTTGCCCTCCAGAGGCAGCAGGTGGCAGCAAAACCATGCCAAATGCAATATCCTTGTGTTAGCATCTCAGGCCAAGGACATGTGATTGGCCTTTTTCTCATGCTTCCGCCCTTAACCTTTCTGTGCACACGTATCAGAGAGTCTTTCTGAAGACTTGACCAGAACATTTAAGTGTTCTCTCACATTATTTCTCCAGAAATACTACTCATCTGTGCCAGAGGAAGGAGGGGCCACCCACGTCTCCCGTTACCACAGAAGGCAGCCTCTAGAAGTGCACATGCACGCAGACCTAGGGCACGGTCAGGAGCAGGTACGTGTCTTCGGTGTTCCACGCCGTGCCTGTAGCCTCGCAAGGTCGGGGCTATGATTTGAAAGTCCCTGTGGGGTTTTGTGTCATCAGATGTCTCTGTGACTCAGCATTCCAGTACTCAGCAGACACATGTGACTTCATAGCATCCAGGAACTTAGAGAAACAGAAGTTTGTCTGAAGCAAGGTTATTTATTTCACTCTAAGATCTTCAACTGAACCTGTAATCCTGGGCCTTGGAATTCTGGGGCAGGCTTAAGAACCACATATTCCCATATATATCTAGGAATACAAAAGAGGGTTGTTGTCCTAAGTCAGGCCCAGGCCTTTAATCCCACCACTTGGGAGGCAGAGGCAGGTGACTCTCTTGAGTTTGGAGTCAGCCTGATCTGCACAGAGAATTTCAGGACAGCCAGGCTATGTTAACTGTCTCAGCAACAAAAAAGACTTCGTTTTTAACTGTGTGTATCTGTGTCTGAGTATGTGCACATAAACGCAGGTGCCCAAGAAGTCTAGAGGAGGGTGTTGGGTCCATCGGAGTGGGCGTCACCAAGTGGATGTGGTCCACGCAGCGTGAACACTTGGAACCAGACATGGGTCCTCTGCCCTTAGCCACTGAACTATCTTTCCAGCCCCCAGGAAAGAGATTGTTTAATAGTTATATCTTACTGAGATAGTGATACTGCCATGTCTTTGATAATTTTTGAAAAAAATATGTGTGTATCACAGGGGTTGTCTCATATATTTTTCATTTTTCAGACGGGTCTTGCTGTGTTGCCGACTCTGATCTTGAACTGGTCTTAGGTCATCCTTCCTCCTCAGCTTCCAGGGTGGCTGAGACTACCTTGGTTTTTTATAAAGATAAGAGCTAGCAACCCCTCATCACACACGCTGTCTTGTTTGGTTGGTGGTTTGGTTTGGTTTGGTTTTTCGAGACAGGGTTTCTCTGTAAAGCCCTGACTGTCTTGGAACTCACTCTGTAGACCAGGCTGACCTTGAACTCACAGAGATCCTCCTGCCTCAGCCTCCTGAGTGCTGGGATCAGAGGTGTGCACCACCACAGCCCGCTCACACTCTGTCTTTTAAACATGTGTTGTGTGAAAGCCAGAGGTTCTGTTTGTTCAACAGAAGTACACTTTTTGGTTTTGAGTTTTCTTAAACTCCTTTAATTATACTCAAAGATGGCAGACTTAAGTTCAGATTAAAATCCCTGACTTCTCTGGCCTGCGAGTCATCTTAAGGTCGTAGAGTGAAGAGGTTTAGCAAAAATGACAGGAGTGAGCTTGGGTTATGAGTGGACTCAGTGCTAGCGGCAAGAACCCTTTGAGTTCTTCCCTGGGATGTGAGGAGTCACCTGAGTCTGTGTCCTGAAATCCCCTTTCTACCCTGGCCTGCTCTCTCCTTAGCTTAGGTGAGGTGTGTAGGTGGCAGAGTGACAATCCTCTTTCCTGTGGAGTACAAAGGGGGTGCCTCTAAAGGCTTTCCATTTCCCTGATAATACCGTGAGAGTCTGTGGGTATCATGACTTCAGCATTTCAATCTTTTCCTTCCATCAAGGAGCCCATGTTATAGTCCAGGAGACCAAGGCTCTGAGTTAAGTGAGTCCTGCTAGGACTCAGGACACAGGACATGGGATTTAAACTCGTTTGCCAGACTCCAAAGCTCACATAAGGAAAAAAGCAACAATGGAAAACACGTAGCTAAAAATAGCTCTAACTGTAGCAAAGAAATGGTTAATAACAGGTGACAGATGAGAAAAGGCGTAGGAAATAATCCTAGTAAGAGAAGAGAAAATGTCTTTGCTTTCAGAAGGTCAAAACTCAGGTCCTAATCAATATTTATCTCAGCAGAGAAGCGGCAGAGTAGAGACATCTATTGGTCCAGGAAGCAGCTCCCAAACATCAGAGCACTCTCGAGAAGCATTCTGGCCTGTGAGTACCGAGCTCTGCCGGGCTTCACTACCCTTCTGTAAGCCAGCTGACCTGTTACCAATTGGGCTCCATTTGTGTGGGCTCTACAGTGTCTTCAAATTGAGAGGTTTACACTTGAGGGTCCACAAGATTTTGGTTCATTGCAAAATGCTGTTTTCTTAGTGTCCTTTTCATTCACTAGAGGTTCAGGGGCTGCTCTGTTTCCTCAGCTCATAGCTGTGGTTGGAAGGAATGCGAAGTATTCACAGCTCACTTCCTAGGCCAGCTGGGCTGCCATGGGCTCCTGAGAGGATTTCACCAGCTGCTGAAGCAGTGGGAGGCCCTGACCCCTGCTTGTAAAATGCAGCCATTGCTGAAATTCCAGCATGTCTACATGTGCTGATACTGGCTTCCAAAGCATCTGAAATGTTTCTGTGGGGCAAAAAATGTTGAAATAGGAGCGGCGGGGCTGCGTTCCCAGCACCCCGGCCGCCTGCTTGGCTAGCTTATGCCTGAAATAACAACACACAAACTGTATTCATTTAAACACTGCTTGGCCCATTTCTATCTAGCCTCTTCTAGGCTAACTCTCGCACCTGGAGTAGCCCATTTCTTATCATCTGTGTAGCACCGGTCTTACCTGGAAGATTCTAGCCTATGTCCATCCTGGGTCGGAGCTTCATCGCGTGCATCTTCCCGGGAGCGGGGAGCATGGCGTCTCTCTGAGGCGTCTGCTCCCGAGAGGAGAGCTGTGGAGTCTGAGCTCACTTCCTCTTCCTCCCAGCATTCTGTTCTGTTTTCTCCACCCACCTGTGTTCTAACCTCTGAGGGCCAGCCAAGCAGTTTCTTTATTTTTTTAACCAATGACCTTCCTCCATCAAAAAAAGAAGTAGATACGAGTTTCAGGACCAAGGAGTAAGTAGTCTGTGAGCCTGGGGAGTTTGTTTGGGACTTGGAAGAGCTGGAATTCTGAAGAAGGAACTTAGACATATCACTGCACTAAATCCCTTCTTGTTTGTATATAGTTTGTTACTAACCAGGATTTGGATATTCTAGAGTAATTAGCAACTGAAAATTTTGCTTCTAGTACAAATGCAAGCTGTCAACTGTGGGTGTCTTCATTAGTGCTGCTTTTGGTAATTCTGATTGGCCTGGAGTTCCAGTGTGAAGATGGATTTTTTTTCAGATTTATTTTATTTGTATACATGTATACTTACACGTATGTATGTATACCACATGCACGCTTGGTACTGTCAGAGGCTAGAAGAAAGTGTCAGGTACCCTAGAACTGGATTACAGGGTATGGTGAGCCCTCACCATCACCTGGGTTCTGAGATCCAAACCTGCATCCTCTACAAGGGCAGGAAACAAGTGCCCATAACTGCTGAGCCGTCTCTCCAGCCCCACACAAGAGCACGCTAACCTCAGCGCTGCCGAGTATGGAGATGATTCTGCGGCCCTGTACACGGTTGACGCCTGGTAAACAGCAGTGCCATCGCCACCCTCCTCACATCAGCGAAAAGCGTTGGACCTTTAGGTTTTCGGAAGTGGGAGAAAGATAACATAAAGTAGCTTTTGAAAAAGTTGACCTCAAGTCTGCCAGCAAGGCAAGGTGGTATAAAACTTCTTGAAAGTACAAATATCACTTATTCCTGCTATGGATTTTCTGGCCAGTAGTTTCATTAGTCTCCCATGTGTGGTGTAAGAACGACAGCTCTGCCTGATGTTCCTTCCAAGCACTGGGCAGATGGGAGGTAGCAGCTGCAGTCTCCAGTGATGCAGTAGTTCAAATCAAACCAGATTAAAAGTAAAAGACCAAGTTTACTGAGCAAACACATTCCCAGGTGATCTTCCCGACCCCCAGAGATGAGACTGGGAGAGGAGGCCAGAAAAAACCATGTGGCTGTTCTCCAAGAGGCAGTTTAAATACCCTGTAGGCTCAGTCTTGAGTGGCTCCAGGGGAGGAGCCACTTGGTGGGTTTTCTAAGGACAGGGATCTGGAGGGGGGTCAAAGCGGAGTTCCCAGCTAAGGAACAACCCACATGCACTTTTTTTTCTTTGAGATAGGGTCTCTCTGTGTAGCCCTGGCTGTCCTGAAACACACTGGGTAGACCAGACTAGCCTTGAACTCACAGATTCTCACCTGCCTCTTTCTCCCAAGTAATGGGAATAAGGTGTGTACCACTATGCCCAGCTCAGCCCAGATGCACTCTGACTCTTACCTGCTCTCTCCTGGTTGGTGACTTTTCTTTTTGCCATGTGAACTAAGGCCGATCCCCTGCCAGTGCACCTGCCCTGAGCCACCTTCCAGCCAGGTATGGAGTCTAGCTGGAGGATGGTCTGTGCTCAGTGCAGCTCTGAACACCGTCCATCACCTCCAGCTTTCAGAGCTTTGCAACATGAAAGGGCCCATCTTCCAAGTAAGTGCTTCAGCGACAGAGGGCGTCCATTCGGATTGTTAGCTTGGGGGAGAAACAGTGCCTCATCCTTCTGAAGGGAGTGCAGCAAAGCATGATCAAAAAGTCATTCATTATCCCAACGCCTTGTCAGGCGGACATGCCATTCTCTGCTGATTCCTGAGCCTTTCTCTCTGCCTAACTCCCCCACCTAGCATTGTCTCCGTTTTGTTTTGTTTTTTTTTAATCAGGGTTTTTCTCTTTCTGTGTAGCCCTGGCTGTCCTGAACTCTCTTATGTAGACCAGGCTGGCCCCAAACTCAGTTTGTGAGCAACCACACCTGGCAGGTGCTCTTTGTGGAATTCGTCATGTTTCTCTAACACGTTTTCACTCACAAAGTTTTCACATGTTACTTGTGAAGTAGATATTCTCACAGATTTAGAGAGAAGGCAACAAGCATTAAGGCTGAGAGTCACCCAAACAACAGTGCCATCCTGTGACCAAGCTGAGCCTTGAAAGCGGGGCCCCATATCTGCATTTCTCCCCACCTCTGGCACACAGTGACAGCCTGGTGGAGGTGCTGACGTGGCTCTGAGGTCAGACTGTAAACCACGTTGCCTCTTTGCCTTTCAGGCCGAGGACATCTCTAAGGACCTCTACATAGAAGTGTATCCAGGGACCTATTCTGTCACTGTGGGCTCAAGCCCCTTAACCAAGAAGACTCATGTGGTCGCGGTTGACTCGGGGCAGAGTGTGGACTTGGTCTTCCCCGTATGAAGCTGGCTGTCACTGCCGTCACGTCACTCTTTTTAAGTAGCAAGAAGAATAAAACCACCTTATGATTGTCTTAATAATGATATATGGATCCTACTCTTCGTATTGGCTGTAGGGGGTCAGCCTTTGTGAACTGGGGTCTGTCTTACTGTGTGCCTGAAAACAGTAATGGAATGGTGCTGTCCGAACAGCTTTCACGGCTGGCTTTCTACGGAAGTGTAAATTATGATAATAAAGGGAGAGATTGGGAAATAAAAATAATTCTTTTTATTGGTGTTAGAAAGAAACCCTGCCCCCCATGTACAACAGTGGGCTATGAGAAGACAGCAGTAGACACACCCTGTCCTTTTGTGAAGAGGGTCCTAAGCGGTTCGCCAGCCCTGGCAGGGAGATCCAGTGTGGGACTACCCTGTGCCCCTCACAGCGGGTGTCTTCCCACGCTGCTTACCTGCAGGAGGTCTCCGGAGCAGGTGCTGGTAGGTACTCCCCTGTGCTCAAACTCCTGCTAAGGCTTTGTCAGCTGCCCTTTTTAATCCCTTTTCAAGTGTTTACCCCATTAACCTTCCAGGAGAAAAACCTTAAATCTTATATACTGACTATAATTTTTATTTTGTTTCTGTTTTGATTTTTCAGATGAGACGGGATCTCACACTGTAGTAGCAGACCAACCTAGTACACAGTCACCTAGGCTGGCCTCACACTTGGAGCAATGCTCTTGCCTCACAGGCATGAACCACAATACCTAGTTTGAGTCTTAAGATTATGTGTATGAGTATTTTGCTTATGTACCATGTGTGTGCCTGGTACCCACAGAGGCCAGAAGATGGTTGTTAGCGACATATGAGTGCTGGAAGCAAACCTCAGTCCTCTGCAAAAGATGGTTGTTAGCGACATATGAGTGCTGGAAGCAAACCTCAGTCCTCTGCAAAAGATGGTTGTTAGCAACATATGAGTGCTGGAAGCAAACCTCAGTCCTCCGCAAAAGATGGTTGTTAGCGACATATGAGTGCTGGAAGCAAACCTCAGTCCTCTGCAAGAGATGGTTGTTAGCAACATATGAGTGCTGGAAGCAAACCTCAGACCTCTGCAAAAGCAACAAATCCTCTTGACCAATGAGTCCACTATAGCCCCAATTTTTAAAATTCTGTGTATATGTATGAGCTTGTGCATCTAAAGTATAGGTACCCTCAGAGTCCCAGAGAGGGGATCTGCTCTACTTTTGGAGTCTTTCAGATGCCCTGCCCAGGCATTCTGCTTTACCCAGATGCTCAAGACTTTTTTTTTTTAATATTTATTTATTTATTTATTATGTATACAATGTTCTGTCTGCATGTATGCCTGCAGGCCAGAAGAGGGCACCAGATCTCATTACAGATGGTTGTGAGCCACCATGTGGTTGCCGGGAATTGGAACTCAGGACCTTTGGAAGAGCAGGCAATGCTCTTAACTGCTGAGCCATCTCTCCAGCCCAGGGCTTTTCTTCTAAGGGAATTGTTCCTCTGGTTGTCCCAATGCCCTGACTTCGTTGTCTGTGTTCAGCTTCTGGTTGAGTCTGCCATGTTCTCATGTTGGTGGCTTTCAGGGCTGGCTCCTGGTGGTCCCCACAACTGCAGTTTGCACTCTGTCCTGTTGGTTGTCCTTGTCTTTTCAACGTCTTGTTCCTAAACCCAAGATCGGTTAGTGGGGCTGGTGCTGAAGACAAGGGAGGCGACAACTGCTCTTTCTAGCTGTGTGCCCTTGGAGGGGATGCATAAGGCTGTGCTTGGAGGGCAGAGGATCGCAAGAGGTAGAGCCGAAGACTGACAGCCAACTTTGGACTTGACAGACTGATAGCAAGTACTGGTGGCGTGCTAGTGCTTAGTACAGATTAAATACCCATCCTGTTTAGAAGCCAGACAGTACATTTCCTTACAAGGACGCAAAGCTGGGAAGGAAAAGGCTGTTACCTGCTGCTGCCTCCAGCCCTGGCTCACACTCGGCTTTGTGCACATCAGTTATCTTTGGCACTTGACTATATGAGAGGCAGTATGGCATCCGCAGGGTGACTCCCATTTACAGTCCTAGAGCCAGGCTAGTCTAGGTGACCAGACCCAGTCAGAACTGCTAAGACAACAGAAACAGCAGGGGATGGGACTTCTAAGGAAGAAATAGCTGGGGCTGGCCCTTTCCCACACCCCACACATTCTCTGTGTAGATTTAGAATATTCCTGATGTTGCTCCATGGGCCAGTTCTAGAAATTTAAATCTTTTTCTGGACTGCAACAAAACAGCTGGGACCTAAAAGATACATTTCTCTTCTTTGTAATTAATTATTAGATGGGTGGAGACAGAAAAAGATATGACTAGGGATGCTGGTAGAGTACCTGCCTGGCATACATGGTACCCTGGGCTCTACCAAGCACCACATAAACCTGGCATGGTACTACATCCTGTAATCCCAGCCCTTGGGAGGTAGAGGTAGAGGATCAGGGGTTGAAGGTCATCTTTGGCTACATAGGAAGTTTAAGGGCATCTTGGGCTATATGAGACCCCGTGTCAAAGAAGAGGCGGGTGTTAAATAGAGGAACCAATCAGAGCACAAAGATCAAACCATCTGTCCTCTCCTGTTCATGTGGAAGCTACCTCTTCCCTGATCTGACAGCCTGCATTCCATACATTACTTCCAAGCCCACCAGAGTGTTCCATATTTCAAGAGACCCTTGCAGCCTCTAGCCCCTGTCTGGGAAGCTAGCATCAAACCCCTGGTATACCATACCCGGTTTTCCAGGGGGCAGCTCAGGCCCGTTTCTCCTCCAGTACCTCCATTCAGGCTGACTGGGGCCACACTGCTGCAGAGGCTTCTCAAAAATGATGGGATCAGTGTTAACTCCTCTGTTTACCATCTGTCTCTTCGGAAGTCCCATCTCCAGATGACTCTCTGAATTCTCTTCCTCAGAGGAGGAGGAGGACATATTGTAGCTGAACGCTGCTATCGCCTCTTCTTTAGGACCTTGTAGGGGTAGAAGCTGAGCTGTGGGCTTCGGCTCTGACTCTGGGAGTTTTGTTGTGGCCTCTGAGGTCCTTGTTAGTGGCCACCAGCTAGGCCCCACCAAAGGACAGCCACAGAAACAGCTCTGATATAGAGGCTGGCAGCAGGCACAAAAGAGGCAGGGAGGACATGAGTCCAGAGGAGATCTGTGTGTGGTGCATCTAGCGTTAGGTCCCAGCTGAGAACAGTGAGGTGCCCACAGGAAAGGACCATGGCAGCCCCGGGTGTGAGGTGTTTGTAGTCTCTCCACGGCCTTCTTCCAGACAGTGGGGGGCACCCACCTGACCCTGTCTAGAGGCACCTTAGTTGTCTTGCCATTCCAGAAGTGAACAGTGATTTCTTCTTTAGATGCTATGAACAGAAATGAGAGACATTTTTTTATGATTCCTGGCTCTTTGGAATAAAGTCCAAAGCCTCAGCCCCACCCCCTGTTCTTCTTGGCTCTTCATGTGCTGCTGTACCCAGAGAGCCTTTGGGAATGTCCCTTCTCCCATACCACACCGACCACCAGTTCTGGGAGGACTTCCTGGCACCTCCCTGCCTCCTAGGCTGCAGAGGGCCTGGAGGGACCTGGTTTTCGTGCAGAACCAAAGCACAGCCTCAGCAAAGTTTTTTATGATTCTCTGAAGAACAGCTGTGCTGATTGGCTGGCACAAGAGGCTTGTCAGTCCCTGGAGGACCTGGTGAGTGATGGGAGGTGAGTTCCCATGACTAGAATACTTTCCCTGCCACCACCACACATGATGTTTTTGTTGGGTTCGTCGGTTTGAGTTTTTGAGATAGGTCTCATGTAGCCCAAGTCCCTTCAGCTCCATGATTCCTGCTTCAGCCCACTGAGTGCTGGAATTCTAGATGCCATGACATCACGCCCAGCTCATGCGCTGGTTTAGGTAATCAGCATAGACATGGTAGTTGTAGATTGTTTCTCTTGGTTTGATTTTATGCCTTTTGAGTTTTTGTCGTTATTTGCTTTGTTTTATACATATCTTTATTAATTTTTATTCTATGTGTTTTCATATGTTTAAGTGTTTTACCTGTGCCACATTCTAACATGGTGCCCAGGGAGGCCAGAGGAGGGTATTAGGTCCCCTGGAACTGGAGTTATAGAAGGATGTGAGCTTCCATGTAGGTGCTGGGAACTGAATGTTAACTACTGAGCTGTCTCTCCAGCCCCCACTTTTTGTTTTTTTTTTTTTGAGACACTCTTATCTGTAGCCTAGGCTGCCTTCAAACTCCCAGCAATGCTCCTGGCTCAGTTTCCTAAGTGCTAGCATCGCAGACACAAGCCACCAGCTTCTGTCCTTCCTGATACTAACCATAACATACCCTGGGAGATAGGACCAGATCTGCTGCCGCTGCAGGGTAAGGCCACTGGGTAAGGTGCGAGGGTTCTCTTTGCTGTGACTCCTACACTGCGGAGCCATGGCCACCAGCAGTGCTCCTCGGGGCGTGTAGGGTCACAACAGCTTCCTCACCTTTCTGGCCTTTTTGCTTCTTCAAGCCCAAGAGTACAGTGCCAGGGCCGTACTGCTGTTGCTCTGCTTCCCAGGGGGCCAGCACCTTGTCACCAGGCTGCAGTGAGCGTGGCATGGATGGCGAGAACTGAATGACATCTTCTGGAAATACCACTCTCCGTTGCTGGACTGGCAGCTTTAGGCCTGCGACAAGGGGAGCCTCAAATTCCACAACCAGGGCCCCCCTCCTCTCCAGCTGTGGGAAAGAAAATAGAGTAAGATTTGACATTAGGGGCTAGGGAGATGGTTCAGTAATCAAGAGCCCTGGTGGCCCTTGCAGGGGATCATGGTTTGGTTCCCAGCACTCACTTGGAGGCTCACAACTATCCATAATTCCAGTTCCAGGGGATTGGACACCCTCTTCTGGCCTCTGTAGCCACCAGGCAGACACACATGATGCACATACATATATGTAGGCTGTCTTAGTTACTGTCCTAATGCTTTGATAAAACACCATGACCAAGGCAACTTATAAAAGGATGTGTTTACTGCTCTTACAGTTTCATGGGGTTAGATCCCATGGACATCATGGTGAGGAACATAGCATCAAAAAGGCAAGGATGGTGCTGATGCCGAAACAGAGCTTACGTCTCGATCCACAAGTGCAAGGCAGAAAGAGCAGAGAATGATACAGGCTTTGGAAACCTCAAGCCCACCCCCACGACACGCCTCCTCCGATAAGACTGCATCTTCTAGTCCTTCCCATACAGTTCCACCATCTAGGGACCAAGCATTTAAATTTATGAACCTAAGAGGGCCATTCTCATTCAAACTACCACACAGACAAAGCACTCATACATATAATAAATCTTAAAAAAAAATTTGAAATACAGCAGAAAAACAGAGTGGCAATGCATACCCATAATCTCAGCACAAGAGAGGCTGAGGCAGGGGAATTGCTCTCGAGTTTGGGGGGCAGCCTGGGCTTTATACTGAATTCAAGGTCATGTTGAGGTCATCAAGGGCCAGGGCAGCTGAGGCTACAAACTGAGGCTCTGTTTGAAACAACAAAAAGATGGGGCGAGCAAGATGGTTCCGTGGGGAAAGGAGCTTGCAGCCAAACCCGACTTCCTGAGTTTGATTCCCAGGACCCACATGATGGAAGGAGAGAACTGACTCCCCCAGTTCTCTTCTGACCCACTTGCCATGGCACATGTACACACAAGAGCACGCGCATGCTCACATGGAACCACATTCACAAAGTCTGGGATGTAGCTAGTTGGTAGAGTGCATGTCTAGTGTGTAGACCTGGGCTCCATCTCCAGCAGAACATAAACCACGCACAGCAGTGCAACATATAATCTGAGAGGCAGAGGCAAGAGAATCCAAGTTCAAAGTTCAAGGCATCCTGGGATACAGGAGGTCCTATGTCAAAAAATTAAAAATTGGGACCCAAGAGATGGCTCTGTAATTAAGATCACTTACTACTCTTGCAGAAACCCCAAGTTTGGTTCCCAGCTCCCACAGGGCAGCTCACAACTGTCTGTAACTCTGGTTCCAGGCTTACTAACACCCTCTTCTGGCCTCTGTTGGCATTCTGTGCACATGGTAGACACAGTCATACAGACAAACTCACAGACATAAAATTAAAATAGATCTAATTTTTATTTATTTTTGTTGTGGTGGTGGTTGTGGTTTTCGAGACAGGGTTTCTCTATGTAACAGCCCTAGCTGTCCTGGAACTAGCTCTTGTAGACCAGGCTGACCTCTAACTCACAGAGCTCTGCCTGTCTCTGCCTCCCTAGTGCTGAGATTAAAGGTGTGCACCACCACCGCCTGGCCCAAAACTAATTTTTAAAAGAGAAGTCTAAGTAGGTGGTGGCGTACACCGTGACTGGCTGAATCTCCTCTGCTTTTGTCATTAGTTAGCACTTCAGTGGCCCAAGCAACTGAGCTGGCCCCTTGGGGATGCTTGAGCTGTAACTTGTGCCCCCAAATGGGAGTGACAACCTAGGGTCACCTCCAAAGCAGGGGTCCCCCCAGCAGTGTCCAGTCCATGGGCAACTCTATGGAGGTGACTTGACTTATCAGAACATTTTTGTTCTGTGGTGATTTAGCATACATGAGCATGTTTTTAAAAATAGGCTGAATATTTTCTATATTTGCATTTTTTGACATAGACAGAGACACATATACACTTAAATAAAAAGAATTTGGGAACGAGGAAGTTTGAATAGCTAATAGAGAAAGCCATGTTATATGGAAGGCAGAATTTGGGGTGATGCTTCTTCAAGCTAAGGAAACCCCAAGATTTTGAGCAAATACTGAAAACTACGAGAGGGGCAGGAAACAGACTCCCCCTTGTAGCCCTTAGAAAGAACCAAACCTACAATGCTTCAAGAGTGGGAAACAAACGAGGTTTCTGTTGTTCAAGCTATTCACTTTGCGGAACTTCACCACACAGCCCTAACAGTTTAGCCAAGGAACCAGACTGACAAATGTACACAGTTAAGACACACCGGGCGCAACCAAGTCACCCAGAGGAGCGTGTGGCGAGAAGCACTTGCCTCTGGAGCAGCCTTTATCTGAGCCAGATAATAAAAGCCTTCTGGTTCCCTCCTGGCCAGGACCCAGGGGCCAGCAGCATCTCCGACTCTTCCCAGCCAGCTAAGCCCCTGCCACGATGTATCAGCAGTGTGGGAACATGGGTGACAAGAACCACACCTGGGAAAAACAAATGAAATCAAGGGGCGAGCACAAAATCCTGCAAACATCAATAGACTATAGAAGTGGCTCGGAGGGTAAAGGTGCTTGCCACAGACCCCACACTGTGGAAGGAGAAAACCGACTTCCATAAGTTGTCCTCTGACGGCCACATGTGAAATATAGTGTGTGTTCCCACCTAGATAAACATATGAAATATAATAATAATAAGATACACGCCTCGGGGTCTGATCTGAGGAGGCTCACTGCATGAGGGTGAGAAGGTGTGCACAACAGAAATCCAGGGAGAACGTGGCAATCTATGACTTGCTGCAAGATCAGCTCGACTTCTGGAGTTAGCAGAAAGTGAAGGGCACATAGGTCGTTTTCTGTATGGGGCATTATTTCAGGAAAACCAAATGAAATCCGCTTGTATGCTTGTGTTAGTCAATGCTTAAAAAACTGTGGGATTCTAGGATGAGGTAACAAACTGACAGGGGAATCAAACTGTAAGTTGCTTGGCTTCAGGGGTCAGAGGGATGTGGACATGTTGGAGCTGGGGCAGTTGCAGAATGGGGGATCTGGTTTTGGGGAGGTTGTTTTCAAATATTTATTTTCACTTTTTGAAGTATGTGTGTGTTCAGATTCCCTGGAACTGGAGTTACAGGCGTTTGTGAGCCACCTGATGTGGGTGCTGGGAGTTGAACTTGGGTCTCCTAGGAGTACGGATGCTGGGAGTTGAACTCGGGTCTCCTAGGAGTACGGATGCTGGGAGTTGAACTCGGGTCTCCTAGGAGTACGGATGCTGGGAGTTGAACTTGGGTCTCCTAGGAGTACGGATACGCACTCTTAACTGTAGAGTAGTCTTTCCAGCCCAAGAGGGTATGGGCTTTTGAAAAAAGTTGTTTTTGCAGACAAGTCTGAATGTAAAGATGCTTAACTTGGAAAAAAAAGCCAGGTGGTGGTAGCCCCTTTAGTCCTAGCACCTAGGCTGAGGCAGACAGAGGTCTGTGAGTTTAAGGTCAGCCTGGCCTACAGAATGAATTCAAGGACAGCCAAGGCTGTTACACAGAGAAACCTTGTCTCAAGAAAACAAACCAAATCATCAAAATACAACAACAACAATAAAGCTAAGCTTGATCTTGAACAAGGTGATCCACGCATGGAGCTGGAGAGATGGCTCAGTGGTTAAGAGCACTGACTACACTTCCAGAGGACCCGGGTTCAATTCCAGCACCCACATGGCAGCTCACAACTGTCTGAAGATCCAGTTCCAGGGGATCTGACACCTTCACACCAATGCACATAAAATAAAATTAAATAAACCATGAAAACTACTTTATAAAAAAAAAGGGTGATCCAAACAAATAAATTAAGAACTTGAGCAATGAACTGGAGAGATTCTCCAGTGGTTAAGGATTAATTCAGAAGACCAGGATTTAGTTTCCAGCACCCACTTGGCTACCAACAATCCTCGCTATGTAACTCCAATTCAAGCGTATCTGCTGCCCTCTTCTGGCCTCTTCAGGTACTGTATGCATGCAGTACACAGACAGGCAGGCAAAACACCCAAACACTTAAAATAAATTTTTACAAATTTTTAAGTTGAGCGTTGGGCTGCCGTGTCCCTATCCTAGGCAGACTGGTTGGTCCCTGGAACTTGCTACAGGCTGACGTTCCTTTGCCTCGTCATAGTCACACTTTAGACAGCTGACTGAGGATGCTATTCTGGAAAATCCCAGGCATTTGAGGACTCTAAGCTGCCATTAGGACCAGGAACAGAGGGTAAAGGAAGGACAGAGGACAGAAGCTGGTACCTGGTGAGTGTGCAGCTCGTGGGCAGCCAGGATGCTTGTGTGGCAAAGGGACAGGTGAAGGAGAGGCCCCAGGGTGGCACCACACCATCTGGGCTGGGGGCTTTCCCAGCTGTGGGCACACTGCAGTATTTGGGCAGAGGCAGCCCAGGCCTGGTAGAGGGCTGCATGGTCTTCAGAGTACCCACCTGGAGCAAACACAGGTATCACAGCTGTAGTCTAATCCCGCCAGGGGACACTCCCCAGGGTTCCCACATATACCCAGTGTCCCCTTTGGAGTACCTATCTCAGAATGTCCCCCAGGAACTAGGGAGGACTGAAAGAACTGAAGCTAGAAGCTTAAAGAGATCCCACTTCAATCCTCCCTCAAAGTCGCATGCTCATAGCTTGTTACCACTCCAGAGATGAGCCGCGAGAGGCACCCAGCAGCTCAGCTCCCATTGGGCTTTACCTCCTTCCTCCTCCGTGTGGCTAGAACCCCTGGAACATGCCCTTTCTCTTTACACACTCTGCCGTGACCAACTGACCCCCACCAGAAGCCACGGACTCCCCTCCTAACCTGGTCGCCTACAGGACTAGCTAGGGTCCTCCCTTTGTGGACTTATTCAGAGGCAGTAACAGTCACCTAAGACTTGTTAGGGTCTACCATGGCCCAAAGCCACAAGTCTGATTCCAAAGGGACTTACCTAAAACTCCAAATCCAGCCCAGACCTGAGCCTTACCTCAGTCTTGGCCCCATCTGACAGCTGATACTCATGGCGTTGGTGTAACAACTCTTGGTTCCCAGGCAGGTTGCTTAGTAGGTTGCTATGGACTTAATCAAGCAGGCAATGCCAGGGCTTAGGAGTACACTGGGCATATGCAGAGAGCGACCTGAGGCCCTGAGAGACTTAGATTTGGGAGTGAGGTGGGAGAGTCAAGGCAAGTTTTTTATTTTCCCTCTATCTCAATGACTGCTTCCTTACAGTGGGAGCCTCTTAGAGGTCTTGGGGGAGTCCCGTGGAGGGGTGCTGAGCTCTTCAGAGACTGTCTGCTTCTACCTACAGAAGGCAGAAGGCTGGATTGGGAAACTAATGAGTAGCCTAGGGACTCTTCATTCCTTATAGTTTAAAACAAAATAGCAGGGCTAGGAAGACAGCTCAGTAGGGAGACAGCGTGCTGTGCCAGCATGCAGACCTGTGTTTGTCTCCCCAGCACCCACTTGGCCAGGTTTACATACAACCCTAGCATGGAAGGAGGAGATTAACGGCCAGCTCCTGAACCAAAATGTGGAACTCTGGGTTCAGTGAGAGATCCTGCCTCAAAAAAATAAAGGGGATAACAACTGAGGAGGACACCTTCTAGCCTCTACAGCCCCATGCATGTACAAACACACACACACACACACACACACACACACACACACACACACACACACCAAAGGAGCGAGCGTGTTTGTAACAAAAGGAACTCTCCGAATAAGTATGTGAGCTGTAGAAGGATGGGGAACAGATGGATGACCAAAGGAATAAAAGTCCAGATTCCTTGGACCTGGAGAGATGGCTCCAGGTTAAGAACATTGTCTGCTCTTCCAAAGGACCCAGGTTCAATTCCCAAAAGGACCCAGGTTCAATTCCCAGCACCCACACATAGCAGCTCACACCTGTCTGTAACCCCAGTTCCAGGGCTTCTGACACCCTCACACAGACAAAATGCAGGCAAAACACCAGTGCACATAAAATAAATAAATCATTTAAAAAAATAAATAAGAAGCCTGGGCAGTGGTGGTGGCGCACGCCTTTAATCCCAGCACTCAGGAGGCAGAGGCAGGTGGATCTCTGTGAGTTCGAGGCCAGCCTGGTCTACAAGAGTTAATTCCAGGACAGCCAGAGCTGTTACATGGAGAAACCCTGTCTCGAAAATCCGAAGATAAAGAAGTCCAGATTCCACTCTCATGCCCGTATCCACAAAGACTGATGTGCTGAGGCAGTCGCATAGGTGGATCCGACCCAAGAAACCAAACACGGGCGTGTATGAGTCTCAAGACTGTAGCTGGGAATTGTATACAGACTCTCTTCTTCTTGGGCAGGAATAAGGAGGCATCTAATTCTAGGAGATCCTGGTGGCTATTTCCTGAGAGAGTCATAGAGCTAGACCCAGGCTCTGAGGGACTCTAGTTCAAGTAGCCCACTGCTCCCTCACAGCGTAGTATTCTGCATTGACTTAAAAATGTTCATTTATTTTTATTTTATGTATATGAGTGTTCTGCCTGCATGTATGTATGTGTGCTACAGGCATGCCTGGTGCCTGCAGAGGCCAGAAGAAGGCTTTGGATCCCCTGGAACTGGAGTTAAAGACAGTTGTGAGCCACCATGTAGATGCTGGAAAGCAAACCTGGGTCCCCTGCAAGAGCAGCAAGTACTCTTAACCACTTAGCCGTCTCTCCAACTGCTTGTACTTCTTGCTGGTGTCGGGGAGATTTGAAAATGACGGGTTGTGGGTTATTCAGTCCTTCAGTTTCACAAGGAATACACTCTCTGTATTAGTTATGACAGTTTGGGTTGAGTTTCCTCTGGCAACTCAAAGTGCCTTGCCTGATGATGCTCTCCCAAAGCCAATTCTGCAATCACCAGGACGACTGTAGCCCAGACACATGCCTCGAATCTCAGTCTAAAAAGACCAGTGACAGGGGCAGCCAAAAAGGATTACTGAATGAGACCTTGGGGTTTTAGTGATGGTAGGGAAATATTCCAGTTAGAATGGGAGAGAGCAGGGTGTGTTTGCAAGACTGTGCTTCCCTTTTGTGGGAATGTCAAAGTATATGGAGCTTTGAAAGCCAAGGGGAGCCAGGCATGGTGGCACTGACTTTAATCCTAGGACTCTGGAAACACAGGCAAGTAGATCTCTGTGAGTTACATAGTAAGAAAAGAAAAAAAACCCACCAAGTAAACTAAGTGGGTGCATTCAACGGCAGTAGTCAAAAGTTATTCGGCAGTTTGAGCAACAATGTTTTAAGAACTTCACACTCGTGTACACATTGCCTTACAGGACACGCACATGTCAGGCACCAAAAGATAAGGAAAGAAACAGCTTCAAAACGAGGGAAGAGCCAGCTGAGAACAGAATCCGGGATGGAAATGAATCGTGGTCCCGGCACAGGTGACAGGATCGGAACAGGAAGATAGTGTCAACAAATATTTACCAAGCGTACATTTGGCCAAGGCTCTAAGAAGGGTGGGGTGGGTGTGCGGAGACCCCCGGGCACTCGGTACCCTCAGAATACTCAAAGAGTCTCAGTTTGCATGGGATAATTTAGTGCCTCTGAAACCCAGAGAAGCAACATTTAAGGAAGTTTGGTAGTGGGACTACTGTTGTCCCCTCCCCCAAACCACGTGTATGAGAATCTACTGGACGCTGCTGCAGCAGAGCCCGTTTGGGAAAGCACTGACTCAAATGACTCTCAGAGACTGGTCTAGGGGGCCACAACTGGTGGTCCGAGGGTTCCTCCCAGCCTCAGTCTCATCCGGGTACAAGAGAGACTGTAGATAGCTGATGTACTTGATGGCAGCTCGGAGGGTCTCCACTTTGCTGAGTCGCTTCTCCAGGTAGTCCTCGGGCAGGTGTCGCCGCAGCCGGGCGTAGCCTTCGTTCACACACTTGACTCGCTGTCTCTCACGCTCATTCCTCTTGCGGATGAAGGCAGGCCCGTAGGCGTAGTCACAGCGCCTGTAGTTGGCGTAAGGCATGGGGAAAGGGAAGGGGTACGGGTCCCCATAATTGTCCATGATTAGGGTATCGCCGGTAAAGGGCAGCAGAGGCAACTCGTTCGTGTAAGGGGGCGGCATAGGGGCCTCGGGGCACAGGTGGACAGTGACCATGGGGTCCAGGTAGAAGGGCCTGGACAGTGGCAAGTGGGCAGACTCAGAGAAGACGGAGAGGCTGTCTGGAGGGTTGGAGTGGCTTCTGTTGTCCATCGTCTCCTCTTTCACCTAGAACAGAGGTGTGCTTATCAGTTTGTCCAGATTAAATAAATAAACACATAAATACATAAATAAAAGAGCAGATTTGATCTACTTTCTTCGAGATTCATGTCTTAGAGACTTCTGCTTAGTTTCAGGACTCATACTGAAAAGTAAACAGGGTTATAGTCATTTGTGTAGAGGTGCCACGGTGGTGCCTGAGACTTGTGATTACAGGACTCCAGAGGCCGAAGCAGGAGAATAGCTCTGAGTTCAAGGGAGCTTGGACTATATAGTGAAACTGTCTCCAAACAGTACCACCTCTAACAAGGAAGGGAGGAAGGGAAAGAGGAAGAGAGAGAGAGAGAGAGAGAGAGAGAGAGAGAGAGGATGTCCCTTTATCTCTTTTCTTTTTCAAAAATTTTATTACATTTCTCTCTCTCTCTCTCTCTCTCTCTCTCTGTGTGTGTGTGTGTGTGTGTGTGTGTGTGTGTGTGTGTGTGTGTGTGTGATGGGGGGCACTGAATCCAGGGCCTTGCACGTGATCAGCAACGTGTCTTGAACTACAAGGCCACTACCTTTAGCCTTTGGTATAAAACCCTCAAAGCGTTTTCTGGGGGACCCCGTGGTCAGCCAGTTACCTAGGCGGTGGGGAAGGAATGCTTGTGTTGCCACTGTAAATGCTTACTGAGGCCAAGCTTGGCTTTTGTTTTTCCCTTGCTAGGTGTCCTCGGGCAAGTTTCCTAACCCTCTCTGAGCCACACTTGCTTCCTATGTCCCCTTGAGAGTTTAAAAGTCCTATCAATGCACTGGTCCCAGAATTAACCGTTCTGTTCTCCTTTTTCTTTGCAAATGGATACTTAAGGAGCCTCTCTTTTCTCTGCACTTGATAGAAAATCTAGTTTATATTCCCCGTCCCCTGCAGTGGAGAGTCCAAACATTCACGTCTTAGAAGCCCAGTTGCTGAGGTCCGAGAGAGCCTGAGATTTCACGGGCGTGCTCCTTAAGCATCCCCCGGAGCTGTAGTTCTTAGGCGACTTTCTCAGGGAGAAATTTAGGAGTCCCAGGCTTGGCAAACTACACAAAAAAGAGGTGAAGAAAGCAAACAAAGTAGACGTTTATTGGCAAGACTAGTTAACGCCGGCGCCACGCTCTCCATTTGCTTGTGGTTTTGAGACTGGGTCTTACTGTATATTTGCTGGCCTGACATTTGTTAGACAGCTGAGGCTGGA